GAAGGAAGGAAGGAAGGAAGGAAGGAAGGAAGGAGAGACGGAAGGTGAGAAGGAAGGAAGGAAGGAAAGGGAGGGAGGGAGGGAGGGAGGAAAGGAAGGAAGGAAGGAAAGAAGGAAGGAAGGAAGGAGGGAGGAAAGGAAGGAAGGAGGGACATGGAAGGTGAGAAGGAAGGAAGGAGGGAGGGAGGGAAGGGAGAAAGGGAGGAAGGAAGGAGAGAGACAGGGAAGGTGAGAAAGAAGGAAGGAAGGAAGGTCAGGAGATTGTAGGGAACTCATTAGAGATTTCTCCTCTCATCAGTTTTGGCTTGACTCGTAACTGAGGTTTTAGCAACCTGGCTAGGCCCTTGCTTGAGACGGGGGTGGTGGGGAAGAGGGCGGGAGGGCTTCCAAGCAGAGAAATCCTGTTTCCATTGCTTGTTTTTTTTCTTTTCTTTTTTTCTTTCCTTTTCCTCAGAGACTGGAATAAAAGATAACATCTATAGGAAACCCCCCATCTACCGACAGCATGGTACAGTCTGCTTTGCTCAGCGGCCCTTCCCCCTCCTTGGCACACTCCCACTTCCCCCACACACACACACACGCACACGCACACACTCCCGGGCATGTGGGTCTCTGCCTTGTCCTCCTGCAGTCAGTCCTGGGTCCTGGCCATTGGGTCATTTTCTCTCTATATATACACACACACACACAGAGCGCTCCTCTGGAGTTTTGCTGGCCAGCCACCGGTGGGCTGCCTGGATCTGGCTGTCCTGCTTTCCAGGGCGGGGTCTCCAGATCACGCAGGGCCCCTCAGTCCGAGCAGCCTCTGGCTTCTGGGGCACCTGAAGGGCTCCTGCCTGGCTTGGGGGGGCTGCTTCGTCCAGAGGGAAGGCTTGGCTCTGCAGCCCTGCTTTTCTCCAGCCCCCGAGGTGGCCTGGTGCTTCCATGAGCCCTCGCAGCCCCTGGGCTAGTTGTGTGGTGCCTCCGCTGCAGCGCAGGTCTCCTTCCTGCCTTCCTGCCGGCCCCTTATCCGTCCTTTCTGGTGAAAGGAGAGTCCTTGCAGGAGGCAGCTGGTCTCCTTCAACAGCCTGAGGGATGGCAGGACAGGGTCAAAATGTCTTTTTCAAGACAACGTTGGCATCAATGTGTGTTCTGAAGAGGCGGCAGTGTTCGTAAAGCTCACTTCTTCAGCAAGGGTTTGTAATTGCTCTGCAGTCTTCGGAGTGTGTCTGGATGTCATTGTGTGCAGGGTGGATTGTACAGGCGGGAAAACATCTCATCAAGGGCGTTTGACTTGTGCAGGAGGGTGCATCCACCTTTTTAAATGGAAAGAAAAAAGTGAGCGCCACTGGACCTCATGCTTGACACGGCAAAACCAAGAACGTTTTCTCTGCAGAGAGTTGGACGGTTCCAGATGGTTCTCGGGCGACCTTGCTGGCTTGTGGTCATCCTCCTGTTTCAGTTTCTGGATGAGAATAGCCTTGAGCTCCCAGGACAGACAGTGCCTGTCAGGCTGGATTTGGCCACGTCACTTGAGACGAACGTGGTTTCTAGAGAACAAGCAGGCCACAACTGTTTTCTGCAGTACTTAAAGATCGACCAGACAAGCTTTTTAGGAACTCTTGTTGGCTATTTTTTGACATTTTATTGTCACTCAGGTTTTCTGTCTGGATCTCAGAAAATCAGGCATGAGGTTTCCAGTCTGGGCAGATTAGAGTGACTAAGAAGCGTCGCTGTTTGGAAATCGCCACTGGCCGGGTGACGTGAACACCCAGCGACAGTGAGGGGTTTCTGTGGACTCTCCTACGTCTCTCCCTCCTGGAGGGGGGCAAACTGACAGGTCCAGCTCCCTCTCTGGGCCCTCGTCCGACCCGCGGGGCCTCCAGACAGGGCAGGCAGGCTGTTTTAGCCTAGATTTAATGGTGCAGCGGGAGGGAGCGCCATCACTCTACCAAGGCTCCAGCCCCACACTCTTCGTGATCCCGTCTCGTGGCAAAGGGCTCCTCTTCAGGGGGGTGGTAAACAGCCCCCAGGAGCAAGAGCCGACTGGGTCCCTACAAAACTCAGCCCCCCCCCAAACGTGCCACCGTGGCAGGTTCTGTGCAGTGAGGCTGAGCGATGGGGTCAAATGGGCTCCTCGGCTCTCCCTCCGGCACCAGGCCAGCCGTGATGGCAGTGGAGAGCACGGTGGGCCTGACCTGTGGGGAGGGAGAGCGCCAGGTCTGCAGTTGCAGGGACCTCCGTCCGTTGCTGGAGAACGGAGGGTGGAGGGGGCAGCGGCTCCGGTTCTGTCACTTGGGTTGGCTGAAGGGGAAGAAGAGGGACGTCGGGGGCTGGGAGGAGGGTGAAATGAGCCTGTCTGCGGCTGACGCCATCCCCACATTTCTCCTTTGGGCCGACTCCAGATCCGGTGCCTCCCCGACAGGGAACCAGCCCACCCACCCCCCTTTGTCTCGGCAGGGATTCCACCAGCTTCCCTCCTCCTCGGGGACCCCTTCCCACCTTTTCCCCACCTCCCATCTGTTGGGGCAGAGAGAGAGAGAGAGAGAGAGATTTAAAGTCAGGCCTTTTTCTCTTACCTGGGACATTTTTCTATGGTCTAGCCTCAAGAATATCCGATGGCGATGGGAGCTCCGATCAAGACAGCAAGAAGGTAAAATTTCAGCAGCATCCAGGGAGGATTTCCAGTGGCACAAGAGCCCTGTTTTGCGGTCCAGCACTGCGTTAAAACAACGGTGCATGTGTTTAATTGTGGTTGTGTTCAAAACGTGAAGAAAAATAAACCAGCTTTCCAAACAACCCTTCCTTCTCCCCTTCCTTCTTCACTGTTGTGATAAGTCTCAGTGATTTAAAAAAAATAATTCCTTTGGGGTAAAAGCAATAGAAATTGATTGTCCCCTTGGTAGAAATCACTCTAAAGCTGGAAGAGAAATGCAGTTTTCTTGGTTCACGTACAGAGCCCCCCTCCCTCCCTCCCTCCCTCCCTCCTGACACGACCGAAACGTGGGAGGTTTCTAACGTGGGGCATTGTTTCTCGCAGCTAAAGTCCAGCTGGCTGACTTTGAAAGGGGACGTGGATTTTAGGACTAACTCTCCCGATCTGGATACTCAGTCGCTGCCTCAAAGCCCTGGGACGGACCGGCAACTTCAGCGGCTGCACAGCAACACAAACTGCACCTTCCTACGTGAGTAGCTGGCTGCTGCCACGGGGCCGGGGGCTGCCGGCCCTTCCGGGTGGTCCAGAGCAGGGAACCCAAAGGGCACAGCTACGAACGAGCTCCTCTGGGACAGAATAGAATAGAGCTGGAAGGGGCCTTGGAGGTCTTCTAGTCCAGCCCCCCCCCCCGCTCTCCCCTGAAAGAGAAGCCATCTCAGGAAGGACTCTTCCCTCTTCCCTACAGGATTCCCCTATTCCAAATCGGCTTCTCTTCCCGACTACGGAAAGCACGGATTACAGCAGCAGCAGCAGCAGCAGCACGTAGGTGGAGGACGTGAGAACACCGCACCGGGGCCGGGTGGACGATTGACCGAGGGCCGGCCCTTCACCATGGCCCCTTTTTTCTTGCACGGCCCATCCAGGGGTCTCCTCTCGGCTGCCATCATTGTTGGGGGTCTCTGGCTCCTTCCCCAAAACTCCCCCAATCCTCTCCCCCCCACCCCCCCACCCCAGGTTTTCAGCAGCATTTTGAGAGCCTGCAAGCTCCGCTTTGCTTTGGGCCTCCTCCCGATCTCCTGACTGGGAGAGACGGAC